TCAAATTCAAATCCTATTAAAACATACTTCAAGTAAGTACACTGTAAGTTTTTTTCTTTTTTTAAAATGATATTGTGTAGGTTTATCTATAGGCATATGTACACACTTAGGGATGAGTATGCATGAATGTATATCCATATATGATTAATCACACAGTGACACAGTTACTGATACTATTTAGACATAACCAAACACCAGCAGGTTTTCTGAGTTTGAAGGCTTAGGAACAAAGTCTTGTGGAACAACTCAGTTAACTGGCAAAACATAGTTCATAAAGTGTATGTTCTACGTCTCAATGAGGGAAGTAGTATCTGGGATCTTAAAATCTTGTAAGTGGCCATCTAAGATAAATCTGTTAGTTTATACCAAGATTTTTCAAAACTAATAAAAGTTTCATGAAGCAATAAATAAATAAAAATAGATGCAATAATATTAACTAGATATACCCCTTTGAACAAATAAATACAATTTAAGAAAATCATTTTGTGTCATACTGAAACATTTACAAATAAAATGCTATATATGGAACTTGCTTCAAAATAATCCAGGAACAGGGAAGGGGGGGTGGGGGGGTGTAAAGGTGTGGCTGAAACAAAACTGGCCATGAGTTGATAACAGTTTGGATACAGGGGGATCTTAACATTATTCTCTCTGCATATGTGTACTTCAGAAATTTTCTGTATTAAAAAAAAAAAAGCACAATCTCATTTTTTAAAAATTACTGTATATAACAAAACTATGTTGCTGTTTGTTGTTATGTGCTGTCGAGTTGGACCGACTCATAGCAACCCCTCCTTGGGTTTCTGAGGCAGTATCACTATGGAAGTAGATTGCCCCATATAATAAACTATACCTAGTCTAAACTCTGCCTGGCAACTAAATGGTATTCTTACAGTACAAATACGTGTTTTATATACTGTACAGACAAAACTAAAAACAAACTTCAAGTAAATAAAAACCCACAAGATAATTGTTGTTGTTGTTATATGCCGTTGAGTCAGACCCAACTCATAGCGACCCCTCCTTAGGTTTCCGAGGCAGTATCACTATGGAAGTAGATTGCCCCATC